ATAGAAAAGTGTCTTCTGATGAGGGTTCACACACACACACACACACACACACACACACACACACGGTGCTGGAGACAGAACTTGTGGGGGGGAGGGAGGTTCTGGGGGCAGAGAAATGGGGGCCTCCTCCCTCATCTAAGCACACGTAAGAGCCGGCTGCCTCCAGGCCGGGCGCAGCCCTTAGGAACACGCTCTGGAAGGCCCGGGTCCGAGAGGCCTCCCGGCATGCACACGGCACCTCGTGCCCCGCACTGCCAGGCCGGTGAGGTCCAGGGCGTCACATCACCCGGCTTCAGAACCTGTGCCGAGCTTGGCCTCTGAGCTTGACGCTTCTCTCTCTGAACCCGAGGCGGCGCCCTGGTCCGGTCAGGGCGGGAGGGCTGGGTTCGTGGTGAGGAGCACGGACGGACGGACAGACGGACGGCACACCCACCCGGGCGGCCAGGGGCGACCCTCTCGGGCCATCGCCCAGCACGCGTCCGCTCCCCCACTCAGGCTGGAGCGTTGTCCTCCTGGGACCGGGAGGCTTTCCCCGTTTCACCGGTAACTTCCGTCCTCAGAGCTCAGCTCCACCGCAGTGTCCGAGCCCCCAGACTGGGGACACGCAGCTTCCGTCCCGCCCCCCATTCCGGCGACGGTGCTCCCGTCAGTGGGATCACCACGAGGATGTGACTGTGTCTTCACGTCCTCCCCGCGTGGCTTCTCGCTGGCGTCACCCCAGCAGCTGGCGCGGACTCTGCGGGTCCTGCCAGCATCCCGGGCGGGTCCAGAGCTCGCTCCCGGGCGCTGACGTGAGATCCAAACATCTCCTCCGAGTCCGGCCGGGAAGGCACAGCCGCCCTGTCCTTCGCACGACACCACTCAGCTGGACGCCTGTGCTCCGCGCCCCAGTCTCCTGTTCTCTGATGCCCGTTCCCTCCTTTTCTGTTCGAACCCATAACCCAGTGGCCGGGGCCCGGGCGCTGGACGGGGTGCGTGCGAGCAGCCGCCCTGGGAGAGGAGTCCACACAGCCTGGGCCCCGGATGGTGGTCTCCGCTGGAGGCGTCAGTCCCACCATCAGGCCCGCTCCCCAGGATCTCACGGGCTCCCCAGCGTGTCCACAAACAGCAGAGGCCTCTCCCCTGCCCCTCCCCCTCCTCTCCCCTCTCTCTCCCCCTCCCCCTTCCACCTTCTTCCCCCTGCCCTCCCCCCTGCCCTGCCTCCTCCTCAGAGCTCCTCCCCCTGAGGAGGCCCAGCCCTCAGGGACCTTCCCGCCCAGCCCCACCTGCCTCTGACTCCACCTGGGCCTCCCCAGACCACCTGCAGGGCACAGCCCTCCCCCCTCCCCCCAGCTGCTCCCCAACAGCCAGAGAAGCTCTTAGCCTCCTGCCAGCGGCGCCCCCAGTGGGACGGACCAGCAGAGGTTTCTCACCCCCCAGCAGAGCTTGCCATGGAGGGAAGGCGGCCGAGGACGGTCCCCTGACCCCTGACCCAGAGGAGCGGGCGCCACCGCTGAGACCTGAGCTGGGCCCAGGTGCTGGCCTCCAGGGCCCCCGCGGAGGCGGGCTCCCTCTGCCCCACCCCCGGGCGGACATGCTGGGCAATTTGTCTGCTCCTGTCTCCACCTGGAGGCGGCGGAAGCCAGCCGGCCCGAGCAGTTTTCTCTCGTTATCTGATTGTTATCCTTTTATCTCCTAGAATTTATGGCTGCAGAGCGGCGGCCAGATTTCTGGAATCTGTTTTTAATCACTTGGGTTTCTGTCAGGATGTTAAAAAATTTTTTGTTCTCTTTCATGTTTTTGTTTAGAATATGTTTTGCTGTAAGTATTCATTTTGGAGAATTTGTTTCTTCACTCACGCACACACACGGACATACATGCATACACGGGGACACATACACGTGGGCAAACACATGCATGTGCAAACACATGCACACACACAAACACACATACTCACAGACTAACTACTGCCTCTGGGGTTGGTACAGGCAGTGAGCACGTGGAGCAACCCCTTGGAGAAATCAGCCCGTCTGTCCACCCAGGAATGGACGTCCTCTTCCCCTCTCCCCCTTCCCCTCCCCCTCTCCCTCCCCCCTCCCCCACCTCCTCCTCCTCTCTCTCTTCCCCCACTTCCTCCCCCTCCCCCCTCCTTCTCCTCCCCCTCCCCTTCCGTCCCCACGGGGCACTGGCTCACGCTGTAAGGGCGGTTGGAATTCTTAACGTGGAGAATTTCTGTCTTCACTTGTGTTTGTTGTGACGCTGGCCACACAGGCTGCGTGGGCCTTCAGCTCACACCTCACCTATGATGCATGTATTCCCATTTTAACACATGACCTGGCAACACAGGTGTGAACCGTGAGCGCGTTGAGTCTCGGGAAAACTCAGTGATGGCAGAAGCGCCCGAGTGACTTTAAGGGTTTATTTCCCCTCGTTCACGGCGATCACGCATGTAACAACCCCAGGGAGGCAGACGGAAACGTGTGCTTGACGTTCTGATTAAGCGACCGCAGGCCCAGGACGGCCATGACACACACAACAGGCCCTGGGTCCCATTACCCAGGTCCTTCAACACGAGGTTCAGCAGCAGCAGCCTTGACAGGCTTCCATGTGTTTTCCACGGAACAGCTCTGGCAACGCGCCCCGACCCTCACCCTCACCCCCAACCCGTACCCCGGGCCTCACCCTCATCCCTGACCTTCACCTCCGACCCTCATTCCCAACCTTTACCCCTGACCCTCAACCCCAACCCTCACCTCTGACCTTCACCCCTGATCCTCACTCCAACTTTCACCCCCACCCTCACCCTCACCCCCAACACTCATTCCTGACTTCACCCCAACCCTCACCCTCCCCGACCCTCATCCCCGACCCTCATCCCAACCCTCACCCCCGACCCTCACCCCCAACCCTCCCAACCCTCACCCTCACCCCAATCCTCATCCCAGACCCTCACCCCCAATCCTCACTCCCAACCCTCACCCTCACCCCTGACCCTCACCCCCAACCCTCGCTATCACCCTCGCTTCTGACTTGGCCGCGGAGGCCGCAGTTGGGTGTAAAATCCTTCCCATGCCCTCCCAGGTTCTGAGCGGTGGGCTGAGCGCTGTTCTCGGGGACAGCTACTCTAGTCTAGGGTGCAGCATCGCCAGTTAAACGGGACATGAAATGCCCTGGTGCCCACCACTCGCTGAGCTCACCTTCACCCGTCACTGTCACCGAGCCCAGCCCCGCTGCGTCCCATGTGTGGAGGCGGCTCTTCCCCGTGGGCGGGCCTTCCCCCGTGGGCGGGCCTTCCCCCGGGGGCGGGCCTTCCCCCGTGGGCGGGTCTTCCCCCGTGGGCGGATCTTCCCCCGTGGGCAGGTCTCCCTCCGTGGGTGGGATTTCCCCCGTGGGCGGGCCTTCCCCCGGGGGCGGGCCTTCCCCCGTGGGCAGGTCTCCCTCCGTGGGTGGGATTTCCCCCGTGGGCGGGCCTTCCCCCGGGGGCGGGCCTTCCCCCGTGGGCGGGCCTTCCCCGGTGGGCGGGTCTTCCCCTGTGGGCGGGTCTTCCCCCGTGGGCGGGATTTCCCCTGTGGGTGGGATTTCCCCTGTGGGTGGGATTTCCGCCCCCCCGTGGGCGGGCCTTCCCCCGTGGGCGGGCCTTCCCTCGTGGGCGGGTGTGGGAACTGCCTGCGGGAGAGGAAACAGAAGGTGCAGACTAGGGCCATCAGCACTGCCCGCAGCGGGAGCCGTCTGCTCCGGGAGAAGCCTCTGGACCGCGGGTCCCTCGGAGCCTTCACGGGGACTCGCTGCACATGGGCCAAAGCTGCCAGGACTGCACCTGACAACTCCTCCACGGTCGGCGAGGACACAGCGCAGACGGATGGACAGACACCAGGACAGCGGGGGGCACCTGCCGCAGGGGCACAGGAGGCCACGTCACCCCACGGATCTGTCCAGCCCCGGGGCCCCGCCTGGGGCAGAGGGACTCTCAGGGACGAGACTCAAGCACACAGGCCTGACCTGCCATCTCACCACGGAGGAGCCCAAGGAAAATTGTAAAAACCTGGAAACAGCAAAATGGATGCACACACGCCAAAACGTAGGCGACTCTGCAGAAGCCGGACTGAAACCCTTCCTGCCCCTGCTGGTCCGACTCCAGCTCCGAAGACCCAGCTTCCGCCCCCCCCCCCCCCCCCCCCCCCCCCCCCCCCCCCCCCCCCCCCCCCCGCCCCGAACACTCGGAGGCTGGACCGACGGGGACTGAGTGGGACCTACGTTTCCCGGCTGCTATTCCTGGTCAGCGGGACTAAGGCTCTTGATTCTGCACGCACGCTGGTTCAGGCCTGGGGCCCAGTGTATTGTCGCCTAAAAGTGCCTGTAAACAGCTCACTGGAGGGAATCCCACGTCAGCTCAGACCAGTTTGGGGGCAAGCAGGCGGCTGAACTGCACCCCCACACCACCCCTTCCCCGGGGCCCCAGCAGGTGGGGGAGTGACAGGAAAGGATGTTCGGCTCAGAGAACAGGAGAAACCCTGTGGGTGTGTGAGAACTGGTGTCCCACAGGACTGGTACTGGTGGAGATGCCCAAAGTCTCCCACAGCCTGGGCCACCGGACTCTGCATGCGCCCCCCCCCCCCTGCCCCGTCCAGAAGCACCCGGGGCCTCTCATCAAGGTCCCCCACTCTGGCGCCTGCACCTGGACGAGGAGGCAGTACAGTAGTTTCCTTGCCTCATCTGCTCTGTCTCCGGCCCGCCCATTCCCACTCCCCAGGAGGCCCGATACACCCACTGTGAATCCTGCAAGTGAAATGAGTGCCCTCCCATGGTCCTCCACGGGAAATTATAAGTGGGAAACAAGTTTACAGATGAGATATTTAAAAGGTTAAAATGTTTATAAATGGGATATTATAAGTGGATAAAAATGTCTGGATAACTCTTAATCTTAGTTCTAAAGAAGTGTGCACTGTGGTGTGTGTGATGCTCAGAAGCCGGCAGGAGCCTGTGGTGTCTCCTGGGCAGGGATGGCAAGTGCACCCGGGGGCGGGTTGGGGGAGGGGTCAGGGGGACGGGAGCCCTTGGGTCCCCAGAAGGGTGGGTGACACTGGGCCTCCCCGGTGAGGCCATGCTGCCGCAGAGGTCCTGACACAGGTGCCTTCCAGGGTGCCAGACACGGGGTTGGGACTGTTCTAGAAGCATCCTGACACGTGGCACCTTCAGAAGCGGGACTGGGCACGGTTCCCCGGAAACTACTGTGACTGAGGAGGGGCCTCTGCGCCGGCTCTGCCAGCATCGTGGGCAGGAGGCCCGGAGCAAACCTCGCAGACACGGAGGCCACGGGAGAGGCCACGGGAGAGGCCACGGGAGAGGCCACAGGAGAGGCCAGGGGAGAGGCCACGGGAGAGGCTGGTGCCCCAGCAGAGCGTGGGCATAGTCAGGGCTTGCACCTCTTTCTCACCACCGCGAAGGGCGTCCCTCCCATTCCACCCTGTCTGTGTCTCAGTCTCTCCCTCCCTCTTACTCTCTCTCACTCCCTCACTCTCTTATTGTCATTCTGTCACTCTCACTCTCTGCAGTCTCGGTTGTAAGCAAATACAGGCTATTTATTGGGGAACATCGGCGTTAACTTCACCGCCCTCTGCGTGGAAGGGCAGCACCGTGGGGGTCTGTGGGGCCGTGAGCAGTAGAACCAGGGCCGTGGGCAGACGCAGCAGCACCATCTCACGCTGGGGCCTGGCGGCATGGGGCAGCGTCACTCGGCTACAAACAGCTGGAGTTTGCCGTCCAGAGTGGCGGTGACGAGCTGCGGAGGAGGAAGGAGGCTGTGAGGGGAGGGCTGCGGGCACATCCCCGTGTGAATTGTCTATATCAGCGGTCACCAACCTTTCGGACCTCACAGACCTCAGGGACCACCAGTAGTGACCGCTGGTCTACAGCACAGACCTGCCTGCCCCTCGGCCCTGCCGCCTCCACGCACCCAGCGTCTCCCAGGGCCAGTTCCACCCAGGTCTCTGCTGCGAGCCGCCGAGGGCTCAGGGCAGCACCAGGGCTTCCCAGGTCACGGGTGCCTGCCCTCCTGTGGGTTCAGTCCTGCCCACAATGCTGCCCCCCCACCTCCTTCCAAGGTTCCACGTGAAGATGGCCTGGAGCAGAGGCGGGTGAGGAGGCCCCCCGCCTCCAGAATGCCTGGTCCAGCAGGCTGCCAGGCTCGCTGGCTTCGGGGGAGAACCGTTGAGGCCATTCCTTTGGATCAGAGCAAGAGCCGGCCTGCGCTCAGCCTCGGAGCTCCCCAGATGGCCAGGAGCAGCCCGCGGAGGCCCCACACTCCCCTGAACCCGCCTCCTCGCCCGGATCCAGGGTAAACATTCCGCTCGCAGCTGCCCAGTCCCACATGTGGAAACACTTTGTGGTTGCCTCTGGCTGCTCGAGGCGGCGGTTCCAGGAACCCCATCCCGGTTCTGCCAGGTGGATGGTGTGACTCAGTGCCCAGCAGGGACCCAGCCGGGGACCCAAGCCATCCCCCTCCCCTGCACATGCGGGAAGGGCCCATCCACACCCACACCTGCACCCGCACCCACAGAGACTCCCGGCTGAGGCCATGAGGGCTGTGCTCGCCCAGGTGAGAGGCAGGGAGGCTCCCGCCACGTGGCGGGTGGGTGGGTGGGACTGGGGGCGGCGTCCACACCCACTCCGGTGCTGACATCACCATCCCTGCTGTCGGGGGGTCCCCTCCTGCACCCCTGCCTCCACCCACCCACACCCGGAGGAGCTGCTCCCAGGACAGCGGGTTGGCCTGGCCAGGCTGTGCACCTTGGACAGCTGGGCCCAGTGACCAGCAGTCACAGCAGCGTGACAACAGCATCGGCTCCATCCGGCCTGGCAGCGCAGGTGCCGGGGGTGGACTCTGAGCAGACGCTCCATCAGGACGACCTCGGCAGGCCCAGGACGAGGGGCCTCCCGCGGTGAACACTTCGGGAAGCACCGAGCACGGTTCGGGGAACAGGGTTCTTCCTAGGCTCCAGGAGGCCTCGGCTTCCCCAGCCTTTTGTTGGAAGGTAAAGTCCGCTTCATGCCTCGGGGTCATATAGGCACACGCGGCTGCTCACGTTGTCTATTTTTGCGGTAATTTCTGGGGCCTGCCCAGCAACTCCACAGCCACGTGAAGGAAGGATGGTTCTCAATGACACGCTAGCCGGGGAGGGGCTGCCTGCCACCAGGTGTGGGTTCTGTGGGGTCACAGGTCTGGCATGGGCAGTGCTGACGGCTGCAAAGTTAAACGTGGTCAGAGCAACCGCACCGCACAGTTAAGGGGTGGGTTTCGTGCCATGTCAGCTAAGTCTCAACAAACTACGTAACAAAATGCCTCCGAGACACTTACAGATGGGATGCAGCTGGACTGGCTGCATTGATGGGGCAGGGGCAGCAGGGGTGGGGGGGCAGAACGTGGAGGCAAGGGCGAAGAGGCTGGTGGTAGGTTCAGGGGGTTGTCCCTGAGGTGAGGGCTGGATGCAGAGTTGAGGGTGAGGGCAAGGGGGCTGGTGGTGGGCTCAGGGGCTCTCCCTGCTCCTAGAGAGACTTGAAATGCTGCACCATACCATTCCTTTGGGAAGAAGAACTAAGTAAAACCTTATCAAAAGGGGGCTGCTGAGGAGAACTATTGCGAAGCCACATAACAAAATCCGGTGGGCTCTGCGGGGGGACGGCCGTGTGAAGCAGCAGCCAAGCACCTCATGTGACCGGGCACTGCTCATCCCGAGGAACGTGGGGATGATGGGCGCTGCCAGTCCCCTGGGCCACGCACAGGCACAGGCACAGGCACAGGCACAGTGGTGACCTTTAAATAACATTTAGAACAGATTATGTCCACTCAGAACAGAAAATATAATGAACACGAAGTTCTCCTAAGCCTAATAAAAAAAACAGATCTTAGGTGTTCTTCAAAGTATCACAAACACAAAGATTATGGCTAAGATAAGGAAAGGAGCTGATCCCGAATAAAAACTGGCGGATAAATAATTCACAGGAAGTGGAATACAAAAGCGGAGCCCGTTCGCTCCAGCCACGTGTGCGGGAGGGGAAGGAGGCGACTCTCCCCAAAGAACTGAACCGGCGCTCCGTGCAGCCCTTGCAGCCGGCCGGGCCGGCGCTCTGCAGCCGATACGTTTAAATAGCCATTGTCACTGCTGCTGCAGACACTCCCTCATGCTCTGTTAGAATGCGGACAAGGTGACCCAGACCTGTTGGATGAACTCAACAATACTTGCTAGAAGCTGCTAAGGAGTGAGGGAACTGACTTGGCAATCACACGTCAAAAAGCATTCTGGGGGAACGGCTGCAGGAGCATGAGGTGTACAAGGGGTGCCTCCCACAGCCAGACCCCGGCCAAACCACCAGACACCCCTCGAGTGTGAATTCTATCAACGATGGTGCCGACTACCCAAAGCCATCAGGTGGGAAACCAGGTTGAAGCCAGTCCGTGCACGTGCATGTGTTTGTACACACCTGTGCCCGCACACGCTCAGGAAAAGCCTGTGAGTTTACACGTATGTTTATGTGTCTGTACACACCTGTGTGTACACACGCTCGGGAAAAGCCTGAGAGTTTACACAGACATGTGAGCAGTGACCTCTGTGCCTGGGAAGTGAGTGACCAAGAGCGGATGCCGTGTTCCCGTTTGTGCTCGCTTTTTCTTCTCAGCATGTTTTCTACTGGACCTCTAAGGAGTGGGAACATCTGGAAATAAGGTCACTTCTGAAGCAGGATGACCCCAAGGCGTCCCTGGGGTGGGTGACTCTGGACTCCCCAAAATGCCCACAGAGGCCGAACACTGAATCCTGGTGGCTCCAATGCTTTTTGACGTGTGATTGCCAAGTCAGTTCCCTCACAGGACTGCCTTTCCCTCGGGCTCCGGCTCCCGGTGAGGGAAGCAGAAGCGAGTGCTGGGCGCCCAGGATGAGTCACCGCGGCTGAGCCCATCGTCCCACAGGCAGAGCTGCATCCGGGTGGCTTCAGAGCACGACGTGTCGTGTGCCTCCTCCTGGGTGTCACATAGCTGTCCACTGACTAGTCGTCCTGGAATAGAAACTAGTTGTGGTGTATAACCCACCGCCCTCCTGGCCTTGGGCAATAGCTACAACAAGGAAATGTGTGAGAGGAACCCTGTGTGCTGAAAAGGAAAATGCTGCAACCTATTTCAACAAGAATTCTTCAAGCTGGGCCTATAAATCACAGACAGGGAAACGAGGCTGAGCTGGAATCACCGCCAGCGGCCACATTCCTGTGCCATGACCGCAGCCAGCTGGAGCCGGGCCACGTGGCCCGCCGGAGGCTGGCCAGAGCATCAGAACAGACCGGCCAGACCTCAGTCCACGCCACCGAGGATAATGGGAACCATCTCCCGTGGCCTCGGCTCAAATGCTACAGCACAAACGGTTGCAAATGTGTCACTGGCAACCCAGGCGCCCTGCCCCACCCATGGGCCGGCGCACTGCCGTGGCAACCCATGGCTGCTCGACCAGGAGGACAGCCATGACCGGAGGACCACAGTGAGCACGGCCCCCTCCCTCCTCCACCGGTCCATCTGTCCCTGAGCTACAAACACCTCCTCCGGCATCACACTGCCGTCCTGTGGTCTCACACAAGTGCTGGCTGGGACGAGAGGAGAAGCTGACTCCCTGCAATGTTACAACCCAGGCTCGGACATGCCACATGAGAAACGCCAGCTGCTTGGGACGAAGGGACTCCTGGAAGGGGAGCAACCTGCCTGTCACCAGGGGCCATGCATGGGTGGCGTGTGTGAGCAGCCTTCCCCTTCAGTAACTCCCTTTAAGACTCAAACACTATCACTGGGTTCTATTGGGAGGACGCTACAGGAATACCAGGAAGTTCACATACTTAATGCAGCAGCAGGGCAAGTGGACTCATCTGTTAGGTCTTTTCCTTCTTTCCTTCATGATCTGACATGAATCATGGAGCCGACGGCAACATTAAAAGCAGCAAGACGCTTTCCAGGCGCTCACCTCCCCCTGGGAGACACGGCGGTAACTTCCCCACGTGCTCACGCAGTTGAGCCCAGTGCACTGGGGCTGGATGTGCGGGTGACAGCTGGGCGTGTGCTGTCTGCCCGACCCAGAACCACCCAGACCTGACCCCCCGCCCTGCCTTCTGATGAGTGGGGAGCGGGCAACGGAGAAGCCGAGGGGAAGGTCGGGTGCAGTTTCCAGGCAGATTAGTGTTCCCAACGAATGAGCGATGACTGCAGCTTCCTCGCTCCCCCCAGGTCCAACTCTCGTCTCCGTGGAGCCTGCAGCCTTCCCTCAGACGCAGGTCCTTCAAAGGGATGAGAACCAGCCACCGCACTCGCGCCAACAGCTTCCCGAGTGAGCCCCGCACAGCCAGCGTCCCAGCCGCCTTTACAGCGTCCTTGCCAACAACCAAGAGGTTCAGTCCGCACAGAGTGGAGCACTGAGCTCTGGTCAGTGAGGAGCCTGGCTCAGCAGGAGGCCTTCTCCCTTGGGATCCCTGAGCAGCTCCGAACCAGAGTCGCCCGCAGACACCTGTGTTTGGACACGTGGCACCTTCCCGAGTCCACAGGGCTCACCCGCCCCACAGCCTTCACGCTCAGCCCGTGAGTGCAGGCCCCAGCCTGGCACTGAGCACCAGGTCATGGGTCATGTGTCAGATGAGGCCTGAGGGGCTGGCCTGAATTCTGAGCACTGGGCAGGAGGGGTGCAGGCCTCCAGGTATGCACACCAGGACCAGCATCTGGGTCTGGAGGACAGAGCAGAGCATATGGCCAAGGCTGAGGGACAGCAGTGTCCTGAGAAACGGCCAGGAGCACAGAGGTCACAGGGAGCGAGCACAGACAAAGCTATGGCAGGAAGCCACCCGAGAGGTGAGGGTTCACCAGCCGCCCCAGGATCTCGGACCCCGGCCGGCCGCCACGGCCAGGACAGAGGCTTCGACCTCAGGGGTCTCCACAGTGTGGCACTGGCTCAGCAAGCTTCCCACAGTGCAGCCAGTGCGGGAGCCACAGACTCAGACCCAAAGGACACGCTTCTAAACAGGAGAAACAGGCCCACAGTGTGGGCCACGCCCCTGTGAGTGGTGACTACGTCCCTGTGAGTACTGGCCACGGCCCCTGCGGGCACACACAGGTCTGAGAGGAGCAGATACTGGGGGTGCAGAGGGACCCTGCACACCTCCGTGCTCAGCAGCACATCAGACATAACGGACCTGTGTTCCCATCTGGGTCTGTCCACCTCCTCTTGCCCCCTTCTCCCCCCACGCCTGTGAGCTCTCCTAGGCATTTCCACGGAGAACGTCAGGCAAATCCCAGTAATGTGGGATTCAGGGGCCAAAGACCAGAGATAAAAAGGCAGAAAAGACTGGCCAAGCAGATTTGGCAGCAAAAATCCTTCCCATCAACACAATTTTTAAGGCTGAGTTTAATAAAAATGAGTTTTTTGTTCCTTATTTTAAGGTTTAAAATCTAAACAATGAGGAAAGAACACCTGTTTTTCACGTTCACTGGCTGGCTTCATTGGAGGAAATTTAAAGGGCCTTGCCTGCCTGGTGGAGGGCAGATGCCAGGCTCAAAGGGGCAGCTCCTGTCTCGCGAGCCCGCAGGAGAGCTGGGCAGAAGCACCCTGCGGGGCAGGCCTGGGCTCTACCTTTGCAGTGGAGCTGCTGGGCTTTTGCTTCTCTAGGGCACCCAGGGCCCACCTCTCCCCATCCCTGCTCCTGACATTGCGGAGGTTGACTCCCCCCCCAACACACACACACACACACACACTCCCCATGGGAGCCCTGTGGTCACCAGCAGAACAAGCTTGGTGCATTTCCCAACATTTACTAGACAAGGCGGCAGATATGGCGCCAGACACTGCCCTTGCCCTGTGCAGGTGGACAGGATACAGACAGTACCCCCCTGTATGGACAGGACCCGCCTACATGGACAGGACCACCCTGTGCGCAATCCCAGCGGGCACATGGTCTTACACAGCATAAACCTCACCAAAACCACGTCTGGCAGACACGGGAGGTGAGGCGGGACCTGTGGGGAGAGGCCCCTGGCCAGGGAGGTTGTACCTGAGGGGCGGATGGGCTGAAGGCCACCCCGCTGACCGTGTCCGTGTGCCCCGGCAGCCGGTGGGAGAAGGTGCTGGAGCCCACGTCATACACGTATGCCTGGAAGACACGGCCAGGTGTTCTGTGGGGAGAGCCAGCACGCAGCTCACTGAGGCGAAGGTGAGGAGACCCTGCTGTGCGCGTTTTAAAGTCATGCTCTGTTTGAGGTCATTCGAAGGACAGTCAGGTTTGTACCCCAGCCTCTAAGGGATGGCCCCTGGTGCCAATTCGGCACCAACAGGAACCGCCAGCCAGGGGTGCAGCGAAGAATGGTGCTGCTCAGCAAGCAGCTCAGTGGTGGCCAGCAGGGGTTGCCGACAGCACCGTCGGGTGAGGCCGCCCGGGCCCCAGGCTCAGAGAGGTCAGGCCCTCAGTCCCCAGCACGCCCACAAGGGCTTCCAAACTGCCATGCTGCCAAGGTGAGTCACCTCTCTTTCCCACCCAAGGACAACACCCTCATTCCTCTGGAGGCTCCGGGGGCCCAGGCTCCCTCTTGCCTGTGGTCCAGGTTACACAGGTGGGGGAACTATGACACCTCTCTGCATCTGTTGTTTTTAATGGTAGAGTACAGAAGTTAGTGCCTATAGCAAACGCGTACTGAGCAATAACTTTTATATAATTGCTCATCTAATCCTCTCTGCAGCCAAATGGAGAAAACAGCATGATTGTCCCGATCCCGCAGGCCAGGGATAGGGGCTGGCAGTCTGCTGGGGGCTGGCCGTGCTGAGAGGCAGGTGCCATGGGGACAGCTCCAGTGGCCCTGGGGTGTCCTCACACAAGGGAGGAGGTGAGACTCAAGGCCCACAGGAGGGGGCCGAGTGAGGAGGGGGCAGAGCGTGGAGAGAAGCCCAGGCCAAGGGGGCTGGACCCTCCTTAGAGCCTCTGGGCGGGGAGGGGGCGGCGATCTCCCAACACCTGAGTCGGACCCGGAGCCTCCAGGCTGCAGGGACCGGGGTCTGCTGCTGGAAGCTGCTGAGTTTGGGATAATTTGTTACCACATTCCTAAGACACTACACAAGACCTTCCCAAATAGGTTAAAAACAAATGGATAAAATTAGTATTTATTCCAAATCCATCCTAGGGTATGTGTCTCTTTATTTATTAACTAGAGGCCCAGTGCACAAATTTGTACACTGGTGAGGTCCCTCGGCCTGGCCTGAGCTCTCTTGCAATCCAGGACCCCTTGGGGGATGTCAGTCTGCTGGTTATAGCCTGATCCCTGCAGGCCAGGCCAAGGGACCCCACCAGTGCACAAATCAGTGCACCAGGACTCTAGTGTGCATATAAGATCTTTGGTTAATTTCTCCCCACCCTCCCCCCTTCCCTCTGAGATTCATCAGTCTGTTCCACTTCTCCATGCCTGTGTGTTGAGCATCTGCCACCTGGTGGTCAGTGTCTGTCATAGCTACCTGTTGAATGGTTGAATAGTCGCTTAGGCTTTTATATATATAGAGATGTTGCTATCTGGGAGTCACACACAGTGAGTCAGAGTGAGGAAGGAAGGAACCATGTGTACCAACGTCACCCTCTCCCCACAGGGACGTCCAGCCCCTGGGCCTAAGACCAGCACGTACGTTTCTGTCCTCCGCACCACATGCCACGAAGCGCCCGCAGGGGCTGAAGGCAATCCCACATGGGAAGCAGCGGGTTGGGTGTCCTTCGAAACGGCGCTCACACCTACGAGAAAAATAAAAGAAACACCAGGAGAAAAAATTATTTTTTTCATTTTTAACCCAAATTAGGATACTGACCTGTTGCTTTTCTTCACATAAATGAACAAACAAATAAAAACATTTTTTTAAAAATATATTTTATTGATTTTTCACAGAGATGAAGAGAGAGGGATAGAAAGTTAGAAACATCTATAAGAGAGAATCATCGATCAGCTGCCTCTTGCACACCCCCTACTGGGGATGTGCCCGCAACCAAGGTACATGCCCTTACCCGGAATCGAACCTGGGACCTTTCAGTCCGCAGGCCGACGCTCTATCCACTGAGCCAAACCGGTCCCGGCCAAATAAAAACATTTTTATATGTGAAGATTATTAGACACAGCAGATTATTCAAGAGATCCTCAAAAGTAATTAAAAGACTGCAAAACCATAAATTCTCAAAGATGACCAAACTAACATTAATCAAGCTTTTTATATATGAAGACTATTAAGTGATAAGTATATTCTGGAGATCTTTAAAAATATAAAAACCTCCTTTTAAAATAATAAGTTATTTGAATCAATAATTCAAAGGCTGTTTTGGAAGGTGCAATATTCTATCAAGGCTGGTTAAGTTTTACAACCAACTGTTAGAGAGCTACTAAGACTTGTTTATTGAAAAAAACAAAACAAAACCAAAACAAAAACAGCCGAAGCCGGTTTGGCTCAGTGGTAGAGTGTCAGTCTTCGGACTGAAAGGTCCCAGGTTTGATTCCAGTCAAGGGCATGTACATTGGTTGTGGGCACATCCCCGGTAGGGGTATGCAAGAGGGAGCTGGCCGATGTTTCTCTCTCATTGTTTCTAGCTCTCTATCTCTTTCCCTTCCTCTCTGTAAAAAATCAATAAAATATATTTAAAAATAAAAAACACAAAAACAGCCCACCAGCGTGGCCCAATGATTGACCATCGACCTGTGAACCAGGAGGTCACAGTTTGATTCCTGGTCAGGGCACAGACCCAGGTTGCAGGCTTGATCCCCATTGTGGGGCGTGCAGGAGGCAGCCGATCAGTGATCACTGATATTTCTCTCCCCCCGTCACCTTTCTCTCTGAAATCAATAAAAATATATTTTTTTAAAATTTAAAACAAAAGTAAGGGAAATGGAGCTGGGTTTATTGAAAAAAATCGCCCACCTTTTGGGACAGCCAGAGCCAACACTCAAAGGAAAGACGGGAAGCTGTGGTTTTTCCACATTTATGTGACCTTTTCTGGGAATAAGTCACTTTTCTGAGAAGGTCAGTGTGAACAGACTCCCCCAACCTTGTCGGCCTGCGTTCACATCGTGCACTTCAATAGACACATGCCCTGTGTTCCTGGCCTCCCCCATGTCCCCACGGCACACCTCCCCCCAGCACACCTGCCCCCCCTGCACCTGTCCCCCCACAGCTGCCCCTGCACAGAACAACGGCCTCACCTCAGGGTTCTCAGGTCCCACAGCCGGACCCCGTCACCCACGGCGGTGGTTGCAAAAAGGTTATAAGCCTGAGGCGGCTGGGTGGTGGATGGCGACCCCTGTGGGTGCAAGGGGATCAGATGCGTGTTCTGTAGACGGAGTTAGTCACCACCACGCTGCCGACAGCCAGCAGGATGGCATCCAAGTAATCACAGACATTCCCAGAAGCTTTTCCCTCACTCATAACAACTTCACAACTGGACTCCAAAAACTTCCATACAAACAATTAGTTACCCACAGTGCACTGTGACCTCAGCTTAGCGATGTACATTTCCTCACAGAAAGCCAGGAGGAAGGTCGCAGGACAGAGACCTTAGCTCTCCAGGTGCATTGGAAAGAATGGGTCACCATCCCTGTTCGATGACCTGTGACCCCAGGCCCTCGCGCCTGTGTGAGGTCTCGGGCATCAGCATGTGTCCCCTGCACACTCTGAGGACCTGCCTCTTCCTGGTCACTGCCCAGGAAAGACCTCCCTGTGGCCCAGGCCTCCGGATCACGCCCCTCTCTGATGGGTGGTACAGGGGACCCAGACGAGGCACTGATGCCTGGATGACAGCCTGTGACCCGCAGAGACCTCATGCAAACATGGTTCCCAGGTCACAGCCTAACCTCAGGCTATGCATTTGGCCTAACCTGCCACATGCCAGATGTATCTAACGTCAGACCTGCGGCGGCTGTCACTCCGTCAGGGCTGTCACTCCCCCGTCAGGGCTGTCACTCCCCCGTCAGGGCTGTCACTCCCCCGTCAGGACTGTCACTCTGCCGTCAGGGCTGTCACTCCGTCAGGGCTGTCACTCCCCCGTCAGGGCTGTCACTCCCCCGTCAGGGCTGTCACTCTGTCAGGGCTGTCACTCCGCCGTCAGGGCTGTCACTCCGCCGTCAGGGCTGTCACTCCCCCGTCAGGGCTGTCACTCCGTCAGGGCTGTCACTCCCCCGTCAGGGCTGTCACTCCGCCGTCAGGGCTGTCACTCCGCCGTCAGGGCTGTCACTCCGCCGTCAGGGCTGTCACTCCGTCAGGGCTGTCACTCCCCTGTCAGGGCTGTCACTCCGCCGTCAGGGCTGTCACTCCGCCGTCAGGGCTGTCACTCCGCCTTCAGAGCTGTCACTCCGTCAGGGCTGTCACTCCGCCGTCAGGGCTGTCACTCCGCCTTCAGAGCTGTCACTCCGTCAGGGCTGTCACTCCCCCGTCAGGGCTGTCACTCCCCCGTCAGGGGTGTCACTCCGCCGTCAGGGCTGTCACTCCCCCGTCAGGGCTGTCACTCCCCCGTCAGGGGTGTCACTCCGCCGTCAGGGCTGTCACTCCCCCGTCAGGGCTGTCACTCCGCCGTCAGGGCTGTCACTCCGCCTTCAGGGCTGTCACTCCGTCAGGGCTGTCACTCCCCCGTCAGGGCTGTCACTCCGCCGTCAGGGCTGTCACTCCGCCGTCAGGGCTGTCACTCCGCCTTCAGAGCTGTCACTCCGTCAGGGCTGTCACTCCGCCGTCAGGGCTGTCACTCCGCCTTCAGAGCTGTCACTCCGTCAGGGCTGTCACTCCCCCGTCAGGGCTGTCACTCCCCCGTCAGGGGTGTCACTCCGCCGTCAGGGCTGTCACTCCGCCGTCAGGGCTGCCTGACCCTCACCAGGCCCTTGTGAGGTTTGACTGGGAGGCCCCAAGAGGCTTGGGCAGCCATCACTGTCCAGCACACAAATATTCACCCCCATGACATGAAAATGCCTCCAGGGCCCACATCCAGGCTCAGCCAACTTCCTGACCGACAGGAGCTACAGGAAGTAGCCTTGGGTTTGGTGGGAAACATACAACTGCGCCTCACAATTGCACTGCTGACAGCCTCAGACATGGCATTTTAGGCGCTGCCCAGGCCCAACCTCGCTCACCTGGTTCTGGCAGATCTGGTGGGCGGGCCGGGAATGAACTCCCTGGATCACGGCAGCGCTGCGGCCCGCGTTGAGGTCGAAGACTTCCACTGTCCGGCTCCGGCTGGCGGCCAGCACTAGGTCTAGGCTCTGTTAGGGAACATCTCTCTAAGGTCCACGGAGGCGGGGTCTCAGTCCACCCCCCATGCTGGCCCTGCCTCTCTAAGCTGGGGGTGGGAGGGCAGGGGCAGAAAGTGCTGAGGACCAAGGGGAGGCCCGGGCAGAGCAGATTTTGGGGTGAAAAACCAGGAGATAAATGAGGGGAAGACTCAAATCAGCGCTGCTCAGCGTGCTGCGTGTGCAGGAGGGGCTGGCGCTGAGCCGGTCTGAGGCTGGCGTGGCCGCGTGGCCGCGTCCGGGACACGTCACAGGTCTGAGGGATCTGATGACTATCTATGGGCTTAGGGGTCACATGACCCTACAAACAACCCAATTGCCAGTGCTTAACCAGACATCAGAAAAATCTACCAAACCCCTGAAAAGCGCCATCAGGAAGGGGCACAAGGTGGTCCCACTTGGGGAGCAGAACAGAACCTCCACACGGGGCAACCACAGGTGCAACAGCACGCTTCTGCAGAGGCTGTCAGTTCTGTTTGTAGCCAAAGGTTCTGGAATAAAAATAACACATATCTAACAGAATATTCTAGAACCTCCTAACACCATAGGACAGTCCTTAGAAAATTTCAACTACAGAACTCTGCAAAAGAATTCAAATGAGGCCTCTGAATAAATTAAAAAGTTATACAATAAAATAGATTCCTGAGATTTTGTTTTTTGCTTCTAAGTAGTTTTAAATCAATGCTTTTTAATAAAAAGGGGTGGTGTTAGCCCTAAAAACTAAAAAAGTAAAGCTTTGGGTCCTGTATTATATCCCATGAATAGCAGCTGTGTGGAGGCATGTGGGGTGGGCCTGGCCCCGCTACATTACGTCACATGGAGCCGACACGCGTGTGCCGCTGGGGTCAGAGGCACCGCTGGCCCCTCTCTCTCTGAGGCTCTCCCTGCTGAGATGAACCGTCACATCGCTCACATTAGTTCCCCGGGGCATAGCTCCGCAGTGCCGTGCAGGGTGGAGCTCGGACGCTCAGCGGTGCGGGGAGGCCGGGCTCCGGCCGCAGCCGGGAGGAAAAGGATACGGGAGTAAAACTCGTTGGGGGCGGACAGGCCGGTGATCTCCGCGGCCTCCGTCGTGGGGAGCCGGAACACGCGGGTGCACCTGCTCCTCTGCTTGTACCTGGAACAGACAAGAGGACCAGCCTATTTCCCTCCTCAGCTAAAGTCCCCCTGTGAAACGCTGGCCTGTTAAAAGGTGTTCCTACCCCCAGTATAATCTCATTTCATGATGAGGGAATGGGAGTCAGCCATCTGACTGACTTACAACTTCATGAAAAATACCATCATCTCCAGCCACAAACACGGCACTGAGTCCATGAGAAAGCACGTTCCCTCCATTCTAATCGCGAACCTGGGAGGCATCCCGCGGGAATAGGACAAACACTGTCATGTTTCCGAGAGGTTTCATGGCGGGTCTCGGCCTTGGCACAGACTGCGCGGAGCACTGCACAGGGTGGCGTGGCTGAGTCAGGGTGGCCAGCCTGGCAAACCAGGCCATGAGCCAGCCTCTAACGAACAGGTGAGTGCGGGGTGTGGTCTGGGCCGGGACAAGCAGAGCCAGGCATGGAGGTGGGCGACACAGGTGACCCGGGGACAGGAAGGACGCCAGTGTACGGGGACCAGCAGGGGCAGCTCAGGCTCCAGGGCAAAGTGGGCGGAGTCCCGGGTTTGGGCATGAAGCTCAGGACGGGCGTGGAAGCAGGAGGCAGCCCCCTACGCCTCCCGCGCCACGGTAACGTGAGGCCCCCAAGTTTGGGTAAAAACTGTGTCAGTGCAGACACTGCTCCCCACATCACCTGTCGCTGGGACACTTCCTCCCACTGCAGAGACGAGGCCCCGGCGGGCCACCCACCTTCTCAGCTCGTCCCTGCGGGGGTCCAGATGGTGCCTGAGCAGCTGGAGCTCGGGGCCTGAGGACACGAGCATGAACGAATCGAGGTAGTAGAACTGCACGTGGTGCACCGGCTCCGGGAACACGTCTGTGCCCTGCAAAGCACGTCACGCCGTTAACCACACGCTACTCTCACATCGCCCTCACACTTATTCGCTCTAACCAGCGTTCTTCCGGTCTTCACAGCTGGCAACCGCCTGCTCTAAACGTCAGACAGTCTCTGCTCAACCAGTTTACGACGTTTGTTCCTTCTCCCTCCCTCCTTCTAAAAGGTGCTGTGACTAGACTTTTCTGTCATGAGTGTATTGAGGTCTGGCCATTGAAAACTTTAAAATGAAAGACACGTAAAACTTGGCAGCAAAGATATTAAGTATCAAGGGTTTTGTTAAAGCCAAAACCTTACACAGGTTTTAAATGTAGTTGTGAGGGGCCCACGCTCACATTTCACAGCCCACACATGTGGCCGTCACACCCTCCTTGAAGCCTGTGCCCGACCCTGGAGCCCTCGCCCGACCTGAGCTCCCCCAACCGCCACCCCCTTGGCCTGCTGTTGTCACCTCCCATCCTGTCCTCTCCCATCTCTCCTCCCATCCGCTTCCAAATGATCCACAGGTTCACTGAAACCAGCTGTTTTCTCCCCAAAGGGCACTTCCTCCCCATTCCACGCCTGGGCTGTTGTCACTGCCTTCACCGCAACTCACACTCAACGCACACGTAAAGGTCTCCTGCATTTCAGTGTTAACAGCTTTGCCATCTCAAGACCTTAACAAACGAAAGGCATGTTTCACTGCATGTGTGTGTGTGTTGCATGTGTGTCCACTGTGAGTTAAGAACAGTTTAGTCACTAATTTCAGTGCCTGAAGCAAACTCCTGATCTCTCCGTTTCCCACCTCCTGGCATAGAGAAGGGTCTACCTGCCCCACCAGGCTTCCCTGGCCTCAAAGTGGCAGGCTGGCCACCAGAATCGCCAGGAATCACCGCTTACCAGGCACAGGACAGGCTCCCGGCTGCGGGCCAACCACACCCTCACCGTCCCGTCCAGGGAGGCCGACAGCAGCCACTGGGCATCGTGGCTCCAGCCCAGGGCGCTCACTGCCCCATCGTGACCTAAAGGAGATGGGGGTGGGGGAGAGACACGTGAGACCAGGGGACCAGGAGAGACAGGTCTGATTTGATTGGTTCTGATCAGTTCTGACAGGACCCAAGAAAAGATGACTCTGCTGCTCCCTGGTGGCCTTTCAGGGAGTTTCTGTCTCGCTGCTGCTGAGCTGACAATGGTCACTGGTAATGGATGGCAGTTGAGGCTCTGCACCATTGCCTAGGTGCCCATGTGCCCGGGTGCCCAGGTGCCCAAAGATCCAGGTGCTGCCCCCCCCCCCCCCCGAGCAGCCCAGGGGAGGAAGGCCCACCCACTGTCCAACTACAGACCTCCACACGCATCCTCTTTCCAGCCAAGTGGCTCCCTCTCCTGGCTCAGGTCACCCTGACTCCCTCACCCACACTTGGCAAAGAGCTGACAAGGCCACACATCAGAGGGACGCCTGCCCACGGGAAGTCACCATGTGTAACTGGGCTCCGGCCACAGCTCTGGGCCCACAGGTGATCCCACTCTGGGTGGAGGGGCAGGCTCAGCAGAGGTCAGGGCTTAAACCTCACTGCTTCCTCCCCCAACTCAAGTCCGGTTCTGCTCTGGTCTTGTCTCAAAGGAAACAGAAGTGGCCTCAGCGATCAACACCAGCGGGAGAGACCACCGTAAACCCATGGTGACCAGAGCGCATGTCTCACCCGAGAAAACAGCAGGTGCTCCAGTCAGATGGGCGTCAAAGACCAGGGCCAGGTGGTCGGCCAGGCCACAGGCCAGCCGACGCCCGTCTCCTGCTCTCAGGAGAAAAGCAGAGACTCGTTCAGGTGACGGATCGTTCCCTTGGGAAGTGACAGGATGGAGACGAGCAGGTCCTGGCTCCCCTCCCGCTGAACCCAGCCCTGAGGCCGCTGGGCTTCGTCCACAGGGAGCCAGGCTCGAGGCTGAGGCGCTAGTGCGGGTCCGAGCCCGGAACTCCCTGGACCACGGGCTCCGCCCTGGGAACGTGCCATCGGCCACCCCCGCAGACTTATAAGCAGCCTGTTTGCTAAGCAGTTTGGTCTCCCATCTCCCTAAGAGGAGGGAGAAATCAGCTACGACTTCCTCCAGGATGTTCTGACTGCAGACCCGACCTCACAATCCCACGCTCAGGAACAAGCGTCCAACGTCATGAAGACAGTTGTTCCCCGCTAACCTCCAGCTCTCACCTCCCAGGTTACCCTCAGCATCCTCGGCTGGAATTCCATGAAAAGCAAAGGGCACGCAGCATAGCTGTAACCAGCCTCAGGAGTCCACCCGTGGCACTTGGGCAGCGGCTGGGCACAGGTGGCTCAGGTGTAGCACCGGCCAGGCCCTGCCCACCACGGACCGAGGGCAGGGCCTGGGGACCAGCATTTACTCTGAGAAAAGCTGAGCTCCGTGAAATTGGGAGCTGCTGAGGAGAGCCACCTCCTCTCCCCTTTCAAATCCATTAGGAAAACGCCGGTGGCCAGGAGGGCAGTCTGGGAGGGGTCTTGATGCCCCTGAGACAGGACACACAGTCCCCGCCTGTGGGCCCCTCTGCCCACCAGGGGACCGGGAGGGGCTGCTTTTCCTCCCCACACAGACCCTCCGAGCAGCCTTACACACACACACACCCCGGCCCACCACGTGAGGAGAGCCTGGAGTGCAGACAGAGCCCAGGCTGTGCGCCAGGCTCTGCACCTGCTCCTCCCACACGCGGGGCAAGTGCTGATCTCGGGCTAAACCCAGCACTGCCCTTCGGTTCCAGGCCACCAAGGTCGCGAGTTCTCAAGGTCGCTTAAACTCCATGCACAAGGGAGCACCTCCCACCGTACCTGAGAACTGCATGCAGCGCACGGCCACCAGGCCCTGGGCCACAGACAGCTGCCTACGGAGCCGGGTCGGTGCAGGGCTGTCTGAAGGGTACTCCTGACTGAAGAGGCGGAGAAGACAAAGGTCGGGAGGGAGTCAAGGTGAGACAGGAACTAAAACGCACTGATCTCCCCGTTTCTGCATCCGCCCATCGACACGGATTCAGATGCACAGAAACTCTTACATTCAACACCATGACATGACTTGGGACAGGCCAGCATTCCTTCGTGCCAAGACGCACGTGTTTAAGCACAAAACGCCAAGCACTGGCCACATGTACGTGGCCTGGCGGGACTCCGTGACAGCTTGGGGGAGGGAGGACTGGTTCTGCTCTGAGTGTAGACCCTGTGGGTGGTGCTCCCGACACGAACTGCTCCTCCGTGAGCAGATCAGCACCTTCCCAGCTTTTAAAAGAAACCAGGGACAGGCTGAAGGACATACATCGATGTACACACATCAGTGTGCACATGTACATTCCTGTGTATGTGTACATACACAGAGACACATATAGGTCTACACCTGTGTGAAAAGTCAGTGAACTGTTGAAAGGGTTTCTCCAAATCACCACGTTTACTCAGAGGGTAAGCCAGCTGCCCACCAGGGGTGAGTGCTCCTGCGTCGTGAAGGTCTCTGACAGCCTCTCTTGACACTGGTCTTGGGTGAGAACATGGTCATGCTGCAGAAAGGAAACATTCACGTCAGCCTCCGAGGTCACGGGCCGCAGCTTCTTAAGAGAACAGTGAAAAGCACAGCAACACACACGTGCCATCACGCCCAAGGCAGTCACACATGGAGCGACTGAACTCTGAGACACTCAGCACTGACCAATGCATGCTGGGAAACGCACTGCAGTGGGTAGCAGTGTACTTACACGGGAGGCACTGATCTTGCCACCCCGGAGGAGCCAGAGGGGTAGGCATGGCCAGAGGCGTGACTTTGTACCAAGGGAGCAGGGACTGGACACTGCAAGCACCACCCAGTGGGCCTTGGGGCAGAGCCCCTGGGGAGGAATGACAGGGAGGCAGGAGTGGCTACAGGGGACAGTCAGGGGAACATGGCAGAGGGGAGGTCAGCGGGGACAGGTCAACCAGGGCCCCCAGGCTTCCAGCTCAGACTGTTTCGTGACGGGGTTCAGAACAGACAAAGGGTCAAGATTTGGGGGCAGTGTCTGCTTCTGCGACACACGGGCCCTGAAGCACCAGGACCCACGGCTGCTGCACCTGAAAGTCCTCTCGAGCCCTCAAACAGCCCCCCTGCGCCCCAGCTCCCTACCCACCTACCCCTCGGCCCTCAGACAGCCCCCCTGCGCCCCAGCTCCCTGCCCACCTCCCCACTCGGCCCTCAGACAGCCCTGCTGCTCCCCAGCTCTGGGTGCAGTCATTTTAACACCTGCGGTCAGAACGAGGCTGCAGTCTGGGGAGAACAGTGCAGACAGGCATCAGGCCATGTCCCTCCTCACAGGTGGTCAGTCACCAGCACTGCGGCCAGGCAAGGACCCAGGGGCCGAGGGGCCAGTGCACAGTGAGCGCTCAGCGGGCTGGCCCTGCAGCTGCTGCATGGCTGTGCCGGGCTGACCCCGTTCTAACTGCAGCGCCTGCCTGTCTCCCATCCCCGCCCTGCGGGTGCCCTCAGGACACACTAGGCCGCAGCTACCATCACCGTCCTGCTCCCGTGGGAGCGGCTGAGCCATCTACTCACTGGGGCGCAGCCGTGTAACCGGAGGATCGGACGCGGCTGTGGAAGACCAGGGGCTGGTCCTGCAGGACGCTCTGAGCAGCTGGCAAGGCGGTTAGAGAACGAGAAAAAACATCTCATGATACATCGACTCCCAGCACCCACCAAGGCCGCTCTGCTGGCCCCTGGAGAAGCAGCGGTTCAGGAGAAGAAACACTAGCGCATCCCACATAGAAACACGCGAGGGGCAACAAAGGGCCTGGACAACACCACACACACACACACACACACACACACACACACACCACGGCAGCACACGACTCTAAGAACAACATCAGTATTTTCATGTTCATGTTTCATGTCACACTGACCGGCTTGGTGGCGGCCGGCCAGCTTGATATGTGTCCCCTTGGCGGCTCCGAAGTACAGAGGGGAGGTCGGCGAGACCCCGGAGCTACAAAGAGAGAACTGCACCGTGGGAGCTGTTTCCACAAAACATGGGCTGAGGGCAGTCACAGACCAGCCCCTGAAGGTGTGGCATGAACTGGGAGAAGAGGCACCTCACAAGCTTATTGTCATCTTCCCAAGAAGCGAATTTGTATTTTAATAAAAACAGTTTTATAATCTGCACTCTATCCTGAAATACAACGTGTTTCACATTAAAATAAACTTAAGGTTAGTAAAGTAGGGAGCTTACTGAACTTTGCTCTATATTCTACCAACTGATACACAGGCACATAGAGCCCTTAACTGCCAGACCCACCTGAGAAGACCCACCTGCCAGACCCACCTGCCAGACCCACCTGGGCAGCACTGAGAGCGGCGTTCCCAGGTGTGGGTGCTGCTGGGACCTCACCAGAGCAGCTGGGTCGACCTCCAAGCAGGTGATCTCGTTCCCAAACATGGAGGCGAGTAAGCAGAAGGCCTGCAGGGTGGTGACAGAACGAGAGACTGACTGTGGTGCCATCGTGGACGAGCGAGCCCCACACAGTGCACACAGCCGTCACCACAGGGAGCTGTGTCCTCGCAGCAGCTGTGCTGCCGGACGGATGGGTGGGGAGTCCGCACAGCACCGTGGCTCTCATTACTTCCCCAGGAAGGCCTCCGGGAAGTGGGCATGTCACACGTGGAGGAAAGGGAGCACGAGCTCGCAGACAGATGGATGCCCCAGATGCTAAGGTCAGGAGCGCCGAGGACTGACCTTGCCACAGCTGCTCATCAAAGCACACGACCCGGCCACCTGAATGCTGAGGTCCTGAAAATCTGAATTTTCACAGAGAAATAAGCGATGTTTAAGGGCTTTCTGCCCTAAAACTTCCTCCCCACAGCAGCCACAGATAACTTAACATGACGGTAAACATCCGTGGAAGGCGGTTAGAATCCGAGCTCACCCTGGTAATGCAGGGCCGCCTCCAGCTCAAAGTTGGCCAGGTTCAGTATGAACATCCCCGTGGAGCTTCCGACCCACACGCAGCTGGTCCTCTCCTGGGACAGGCTGCAAAGAGCGGCACGTGGACGGCCTTATCCGTGAGCTCAGTTCCATGGTGTCGTCATTGAACGTGACCCGTGCTCCTGTGAGCACTGTGGAACCGCGGGGTCCGAGAGGGGCCTCTCCGGGACGCTGCCGGTGAGTGTGCCTGCCGCCTACAAGCTCTGAGCCACATGCACCCATAGGGGCTTGTGCCAGAGGGTTTGGGTGACCCTGTCTCTGGTGCTGATCTGCGACATCTGTACTTCCCTGAGGTCACAGAGGTCAGTGCTACCCCCACAGGACAGTACACACAGGCAGCCCTGTGAGGCCCTGCCCTCTAGGGCAGCTTTGCACACAAGAAGCCAACTCGGAGGAAGTACCCAAAGCAGCAGAGCACCAGCACAAACACAGCTCCGCTGCTTCCAGTTTTCAGTTTACCTGCCAGATGCAAGTCCTCTGTGACGGTGCGCCCCCTGCTGGCTAGGCAGGCGGGGACGCAGGGCCTCCAGGCCCCATCTCCCTCCAGCACCTGAGGGCCCATCAGCCAGGCACCAGCCTGTCACCTGGCTCCTCCAGCAGCCCAGCTTTCCGGGACGCATCCCGGCGTCCTCACATCCGCCGCCAGACCACAAAGCAGCGAACCAGTTGTCCTGGAGGGAAACCGGGTCCGAGACGCAGTACAGACCCTTCCCTCACTGCCCAGCCTGAGAGACGAACTCCACGGTCTAAGACCCCACAGTCAGCGGCTGCCCGCCAGCGGCTGCTCCAGCCTCCAGCCATGGTGCCACCAGCAGGGGCGTCTGGGCAGATGGGGCCGCCCCAGCCAGGCCACAGGCAGCGCGGCAGCCTCCCCCACCCCTCCTCCTGTGGGGCTGGAGTCCTTATCACGTCCGAATCCTCCCACGCTCCATGCCGCAGGTGAACACACTCACCGCCTCCCTGTTAATCCCAGTGAGACAGGGGCTCCTTGTGCTGCCAAGTACCTGTAACATTTCTACAAACGCGGAGGTGAGGAAGCTCCTCATTACCGTGTCGTGGTAACGCAGACACATGGCACACACAGTGCAGACTGACATAGGACTGTGCTCCCTTCACCCACCACACAGGCCAAGAGCTGCCAACATTTATGAGCAACATTAAAATAACCCGTTTCTCATACAAATACATGGACGTAACTGACCAAGTTTACCAACCTGAAGACCTGAAATAGCTAACAACATTGACAGCTACAGACACCGAAATGGCCGGGTCATTCCCACCACCTGAGAAGCCAACCTGCCTCCAGAGGTTCCTCCCGGCCCAGGCCAAGCAATCACTCACCATCCACGCCCGGGACCGAGGCCCGGCGGCAGGTCACAGTGCGCCAGGCTCAGGACGGGGAGCACCACGTCGACCCCGTCCCCTCTATCCAGCCCCCTCTCTCCTGGAAGAGCCAGCGACAACCCACATGGAGGGGAAGCACCGGGGGGAGGGGGGCTAAAGTATGGGGGGGGACAGACTCAGGTGCTGGGCGTCAGCCGATCGGGGCCGAGGGGCACGGGGCTGCTTCCTCAGAGAGGACAGGAGGCCACGGGCACGGGCGTCCGGTACAGGCCGCAGAGGCGGGATGGCTCGGCCGCCGTGGGGCATAGCGGTTTGAGCTTTCCTTCATGAGAAACGGGTACTGACAGAAGGAATCACGAAAAAGCACCAGGAAAGGCAGATGCTGGATAAAGGCAGTTCCTGAGGGTTTTAAAGAGGAATGGCTAGTCATCAGAAAGCAAGAAACGCAGCTGAGCGGGTGCTGCCCTCAGAGGTGCCGGCAGAGGTGGCTGCTGCCCGAGCCTCGGACAGCACTCCCGCAGGAGGCCGCTGAAACAGGCAGAACCAGCAGCACGCGGGACCGGAGCCCTGGGCTGGGGGGAGGCAGGGGCAAGGGGGGGGGGGGGGCGGGGAAGGAGGGAAACAGGTGATAAGTAACAGGGCAGGCGGGGCCCATCCAGGTGGAACCAACCTGAGTGAGGGTGCAGGCTGCTTAGCGAGGAAAACCCACTGCGGCTGGAAGGCGTTTACCCTGGACCCTCATCACCATGACAACCACCCACAAGGAGTGTTCACTATACCCTCCCCCTGACACCATCCCAGACCTGCGGTGCCTGCAGAGGCCTGAGGTCAGGACCTGTCCTTGCTGTGACCCCTCCTGCCTCACATCAGGGCCAGAGGTGAGAGGTCAGGGGCATCACCTGGCCGGCTGGCGTAGAAACTCCCCATTTCTTTCCTCAGGTCCACGCGCGTCACTTGCCGATAATGATGACCTTCCACCAAACTGAAGATACACAGCTGGCGAAAGAGATGGGTGCCTCACCTGTGTCAGCGGGCACCAGGAAAGGCAGGGAGAGCCCGACGAGGGATGAGGGTGGGAGCAGCCCAGAGAGAAGGTACGTGGCCCTGGGGTCCCCGAGCCTCTGCCCTGGTCTGAGCCCCACCCACGGCCCCCGCTGACCATGGCTGAGGGCACTGTCTCGGGTGTGGGCATCGCACAGGCCTCCGCAGACCCCCTGCAGCTCCCCCAGGCGCACGCCACCAGGGCCCGGGCGTGCAGGGTGACAGTGGTTACCCAGGTGCGCCAGGTGTGCCCTCACCTGGCCCTCGGCGCCCCCGGCCACCAGCTGCTGGCTCTCCCCATCGATGAAGAGGCTCAGGACAGGGGAGGCTGGTAGAGGAAGAGATGGTCGTTACCCTCAGGGCGCTGGCACAGTTCAAAGGAAACTATCAGCTTCGCTTATTCCTTCAGTCAATTCCGACTGTTCTGACACATTTTTCCACAGGAAGAGGAACACGAGTGCAGCTGTGAGCTCTCCTGAGCGCCGCCGGCAGGCTGACCGTGCCTCCACCCGCGGCATCGCTCCGAGTTGCTGGCTGGGGGGTGGGGGCCGCACAGCAAGGGCCGGAGCAAGGACACCCCAGGATGGTCCCCGATGGCCGGGCCTGTGAAGCTGAGGGTTCGAGAGGAACGGCAGTTCAATGGCCCCTTATCAAATGTGCTGCCTCGGAGCCAGTTCACCGAGGACACACTGTGTGTCCACACCGCCAGGACTTGGGAGGTGAGTTATACAAACAGATGTTAAAACCACCCCCGTCCTAGAAACTACGAACGGATCCAAAACACGTTTGTGACTGTTTTCTGAGGAGTAATTCCAGTGTAATCCCAGTCACGGGCTCGCCCTGCACTTGTGTGGCCCAGAGCTGTGACAGCAGCATGTCCCAGCAGAGGCCTCGGGGACTCGGAGTCAGGGTCACACCCGCTTCCCTCATGTGGCTGCCATGCTCCCTTCCCAGGAGAGGAGCCTGGGCCTAGCCAGGTCTGCACTCAGGACCCCGAGGGACCAGGAAGCCCTCCCTCCCAGGAGGATGTGCACTCAGGACCCCGAGGGACCAGGAAGCCCTCCCTCCCAGGAGGACATGCACTCAGGACCCCGAGGGACCAGGAAGCCCCTCCTGGAGACACTGGGACTGGGCATGGAGGCCGCCTGGGCCCGGCACCTCAGGCCCGATGGAGACTGGCTCCACCACCGGGCCCATGTGTGATGTGGGCAGTGTCCGCTATGAGCAAGGGAACTGACTGAGGAGAGTGTGTGGTGAGCCGGCCGCATGCCTGAGCCCATGGGCAGTCGTCCTGCCAACTTGCAGCTCCGGGCCTGCTCCGAGGGACAGTACAGTGGCCATGTCTCTCCACACCTCTACCTTCCACAGTTCCCAGCCATGCTCAGACTTTAACACTAAAGTGAAGACAGTGTGGGAGAGAGACCGCTAGAGGGGTGACATCGGCCCCCGACTGGCACCCTGTGTGCCGACCACACCTGCCCCAGGAGAGCACAGTCGCGTTGCCACGAGAAGAGTCAAGGTCAGGGCCAGTTACCTGTCAGCACCGCCGAGCTGTGCACCAAGGCCCCCGAGCGGCAGTCCCACACCTGCGGGCAGACACACAGCTCCTTCAGGGCTCGCCCTCCGGCCGGCACTCCAGGCAGCTACACACCAACCTGCGGGTGCTTTCCTAAAGAGCAGACGGCGACAGGAGGGGACGAGGGAACTGCACACCCAGGGAGACGCTGGGCTCCTAGGAGACACCGCGTTTCCAGGCGCCGAGGGCGAGGCAGACACCCAGCACCGCGCACCCGCGAGGCCTGGCTGCACCCACATGCGGGCCTTATGGGCAGTGGTGAGGTGGGAGTCCACCTGCTCTGCACGCTCACGGGGAAGTGGCTCGTGCTCCCCAACACTCAGCCCCTTTGATTCCCATGAGGCATGGCACCGCAGGTCCAGACTCCACTATTCCGGGGGGGACCGTGGGGGGGGGGGGGGAACACCGTGGTGGGCACCCGTGTGGGCAGCAGAGGGTCCTGGGAGCTGGGGTGACACCCTCTGTGGGCTGCTCCTGGCATGGCCTCTGGGTGCCGAGGGAGGTGAGCCGTGTGACACCACTGACACGGACGGTGATGGGAACGGAGCTTGCATTGTAATTTATTTTCTTCCGGAGCCCCATTCTGTTCTGACTGAGTCCTGGTACTGGACGACGACGACGGTGCTGCCGCTCCAGGCCGTCGTCAACACGGCGGAGAGAAATCGTTTTCTCCCTGAGGCCCTGCACCCGCAGAGGCACCAGCTGACTGCATGCCTCGAACCCACAGGGGAATTCGGGGACAGAGCGGCGCTGCAAGCGTCATCAGCTCCCGCACCCACCTGGCCCCACTGTAACATGGCAGAAGGTCAACCCTTACGCAGACGCCACAGCCCTGCCTCCACCCGTCTGTCTGTAGGTGGGGCCGCCCCTACCTTGAAGCTTCTGTCCTCAGACCCCGAGATGACCACATGCGCTTGCCATGCACAGAACTCGGCTGCAGTCACGGGGCCCTGGTGCCCCTCCAGCTTGGCACATGCGGTTTGGCTCTGTGGGTTGCACAGTGAGACCAGTCACTGGATGTTCCAACAATGGCCACCGAGGACTCACCTGTGTCTTGCAGAGGAGAGTCTCCGTTAAAATGCACCTGCAGACTCCCTCTCCCAGGCCTGGTGCCCCTGCACGGAGCTGACACCGGACAGCGGAGCTCGGCGTCCGGGCCACAGGAGCCGGTGGCCACAAACACCGCTGAGGCTGACCGCAGCAGGCCCTTCCCACAGGATGTGCTCGCAGCTCCAGCCGAGGCCCCATGAAGCCTGCCCAGCCCCCCTCCCAGGACACGTCTGCCTCCATCTATGAGGTCACCTCCGATACTGCCTTCCCCAGGGTGAGCCTCCAGGGTGCAGCCTATGAGCTGAGACACCGAGACGTGTCCAAAGGCAGATGTGCCCCCACTGCCTGCACACAGCAGGTCCCCATAATCACAACACGACGCCCCACCTTGGTCCTCCCTGGCCTTCGGTTTTAACGAGGACATAGCCAGTTCTCGGGGGGGCAACAGCGTGCTCAGTCACTGTGCTCGTGACACCACAGCCTGTCCCCACAGCGCATCCCATGCGAGCACGGGTCCAAGGGAACAGAGCCCTGTCCACTGTGTGACACGGGCCCAAAAGCCGTTGCATGGCCCAGCACTAGCCTCAGTCCACAGAACCTGCAGGGGCAGCACATTCATGCCAGCTGATCCCGATGGAGGACCAACAAGAAGGTCCGATTCTCAGTGGGAAGCAAGTGCTGATGAGAGAGACAGGAAAGGCCCACACTGTGAGGCTCTGACAGAGAAGACCAGAAATACACGTGTCCCATGTTCCGTGTTCCATAACACGTGTGTGCCCTGATCCCCGGGCGTCATGGTGAGACCTCCATCCACATGAGAGAGCAGCATCTGGCTCCAGGGCCTCCATTGAAAGACACAGATACGTGCTCACTCACTCTCCTAACGTGTTCACAGAAATTCGCCCATTGGGGCCCGGCAGGCCCCCGGCACTGTGCCCGCCGCCCTCAGCGCCTCTCACCTGCACGTCCAGCACGAGGACCCTGTTGCCAGTGCACACTGCAGCCATCTGGTCGTCCCAACTGAACCTCACACACCGCACCTCTCCCAGGCGGGTGCCCAGGACGAGCCCATGCGGGTCTGTCCCTGGGAGGGGGGTGGGAGTAAGAGGTGCTGCCGTTAGTCGGTCATCAGAGGCAGGACTGAGAGTCCGGGGAGTAGGCTCCTGGGCAGGGACCTACTGGCAGGTAACTGGGTTGTCAGACAACTGACTCTTTGAGAGAATTAGACACCTGAATGTAAAAATCCCCCTGTAAATACATGGAATTGCCCAGAACTGCAATAGCGTGTGAGAACCCGTTGTGCAGACCATTGAGGGGGGAATTAGCTTGTTCTGACTCACTGCAGGGTGAGACACCGGACGCCCCTGAGCCTGGTGCTGCGTCCTGGGCCCAGATCTCCACATACCAGGTCCATGTGGGGCTCCGCTCAGACAACCTTGGGGAGCCCTGCCCTCCAACAATAAGACTGCCTGTTCACCAAGAACCAGGAGGGAGCATATTCCTAACAGGTGGCTCGCTGTACGCAGGCGCATGTGCATAGTGTACACACTATGTATAGCTGTGCAATACATGCATGTGTTCTGTGTGCAGTATGTATGTGTGCCTACATGTGCGTGTATACTATGAACACCTGTACTAGATATTCTTGTGTGTGTGCTATAACTATATGCATACACATACCATATGTGTGAGTGTACTAAACATGTGTGCATGTGCATAGATGTGTGTTATAAATGTATCACATATATAACATGTGTGTACATGTGTATGACTGGATAGTATATATGTGTATTGCTATGTACACAGGTACATGCTCATGTAATATGTATGAGCTACGTAGTATGTGCACATAATGAATGTGTGTACTGTATAATGTGTGTATATCATGAATATGGTACATTTACATGCATTGTAGTAGGCATGCATGCATGTGTATATGTGTGTATTGGTGCTATGTGTGCATGGATTTGTGTATATGTGTACACATACTTGCATGTGTGTGTTGTGCATACATGTACACATGCTGTGTGTGCATGTTTGCATTTGCATACATGTGCATTTACACGTGAGTGTATGTACTGTGTGGTGTGTGTCTGTTATGTGTGTGCGCTGTATGGGGTGCTGTGTGTGCGTGTGTGCTTACGTATGTGTGTGCTATATTGTGTACTGTGTACATGTGTGCATATTGTGCATGTGTGTTCTTATATTGTGTGGGGCTGTGTGTGTACATATATGTCTGTATTTGTGTGCATGTGTTTACATGGGTATGTGTGTGCTGCCATGAATGTGCACATGTGTAGATGTCAGTGTTGACACCTGAACTACAGTGATCATACTATGAAGAAGATGGAGTATAAACTATTATATAGGCTGCTGCCTGAAATTAGTTGGTTTAGGAGGAATTCCGTAACTTCTGAGTGTAGCTCCATACTGTGGTCCTCACCAATGTCTCACCTCCATCTGGTAAAACTTGGACACACCGCCCACAGAGCTTGGTCTCAGCTCCTCAGCGAGGCCAAGCTCATGGCGCCCAGGCCAGGCCCCCAGGTCCCTCAGCCTCACAGGCGCTCCCAGCACTGCCCACCCTCCCATCTGCCATCGCCCGATGGCTCCACATGAACGTGTCGACCATGACCTGCCCACGCCTCGCTCTCCACGGCCCCGCACGGCTGGTGACCGCCACATGCCTGTGTTTCCCACTATAAGCTGTGAGCTTGCCCCCAGTTCTATAAGAGAAGGATATTTCAACTCCCTCCAGGTTTCAGTGCCACAAAAGCCACAGGTTTCAACACAAGAAAACGTGAAGATTACACCCACTGAGCTCGGGAAGCGGCTTCTCACTCAGCTGTGTTCCCCAGCTCCGCACCTGCCTTCCAGGTCACAGGGGTCAATCAGGGCCAGCCCCCCTATGCACCAGGCTATTCAGGTGAAGTTGGCCCAGGACAGTGTGAAATGGCTTCAGGTCTGCACTCACCCTGAAGCGCGTTCTCTTGGCACTCCTCCAGCTTCCACATCAGCACGCAATCTTGGGAGGCAGAGCAGACCACAAGCGGGTGCTCCATGTTGCCAAATGCCACAGCAGTGATTGGCTGATGGTGTCCTTTTAAGATCAGAAGCTTAAAAATTCACAAAAACATCATTGATTAGAGGTAACCACCAAAATAACATACCAATGTAACCTCTAACCTCAGAAATTAAATTAATTTTTCAAATAGGTCGACTTTGCGTATTCATTTATTAAAACCCTGTGTGCTATTAAACAAATGTCTCAGGCTCAGCATGGCACCAAAGCTCAGTATCACAAATAACAGGCAGCAGGAAAGGGCAGCGCCCTCACCCCTTACCCATGGCGTGTGACTGCACAGTGCACGCTGCACCCACCGCGTGCCAGGGAGGGGACAGCTGTGTGATGAGGGAATGGCTGTGTGATGAGGGAGGGGAGGGCTGTGTGATGAGGGAGGGGAGGGCTGTATGATGAGGGAGGGACGGCTGTGTGATGGGGGAGGGGAGGGCTGTGTGATGGAGGAAGGATGGCTGTGTGATGGGGGAGGGGGGCTGTGTGATGAGGGAGGGGACGGCTGTGTGATGAGGGAGGGGACGGCTGTGTGATGGAGGAAGGATGGCTGTGTGATGGGGGAGGGGGGCTGTGTGATGAGGGAGGGGACGGCTGTGTGATGGGGGAGGGGAGGGCTGTGTGATGGGGGAGGGGAGGGCTGTGTGATGGGGGAGGGATCGGCTGTGTGATGGGGGAGGGATCGGCTGTGTGATGGGGGAGGGATCGGCTGTGTGATGAGGGAGGGGAGGGCTGTGTGATGAGGGAGGGGACGGCTGTGTGATGGGGGAGGGGAGGGCTGTGTGATGGGGGAGGGATCGGCTGTGTGATGAGGGAGGGGAGGGCTGTGTGATGGGGGAGGGATCGGCTGTGTGATGAGGGAGGGGACGGCTGTGTGATGAGGGAGGGGACGGCTGTGTGATGGAGGAAGGATCGGCTGTGTGATGGGGGAGGGGGGCTGTGTGATGAGGGAGGGGACGGCTGTGTGATGAGGGAGGGGAGGGCTGTGTGATGAGGGAGGGGAGGGCTGTGTGATGGGGGGGGGGTCGGCTGTGTGATGGGGGAGGGGAGGGCTGTGTGATGAGGGAGGGGACGGCTGTGTGATGGGGGAGGGGAGGGGCTGTGTTATGGGGGAGGGATCGGCTTGTGTGATGAGGGAGGGGAGGGCTGTGATGGGGGGAGGGATCGGCTGTGTGATGAGGGAGGGATCGGCTGTGTGTGGGGGAGGGATCGGCTTGTGGCATGTAGGGAGGGGAGGGATCAGGCTGTGTGATGAGGGAGGGGACGGGCTGTGTGATGAGGGAGGGATTGGCGTGTGAGGGGGAAGGGATCAGCTGTGGTGAGGAGGAGGGGAGGGCTGGGTGAATGAGGAGGGATGGGCTGGGTGATGAGGGAGGAGCGGCTGTGTGATGAGGGAGGGGACGGCGTGGTGATGAGGGAGGGGTGGCTGTTGATGAGGGAGGGGAGGGCTGTGTATGAGGGAGGGATCATGTGTGATGAGGGAGGGGACGGCTGTGTGATGGGGAGGGATCAGCTGTGTGATGAGGGAGGGGACGGCTGTGTGATGAGGGAGGGATCAGCTGTGTGATGAGGGAGGGGACGGCTGTGTGATGAGGGAGGGATCAGCTGTGTGATGAGGGAGGGGACGGCTGTGTGATGAGGGAGGGATCAGCTGTGTGATGAGGGAGGGAGGGCTGTGTGATGAGGGAGGGGAGGGCTGTGTGATGAGGGAGGGGAGGGCTGTGTGATGAGGGAGGGGAGGGCTGTGTGATGAGGGAGGGGAGGGCTGTGTGATGAGGGAGGGGACGGCTGTGTGATGAGGGAGGGGAGGGCTGTGTGATGAGGGAGGGACGGCTGTGTGATGAGGGAGGGGACGGCTGTGTGCTGAGGGAGGGGACGGCTGTGTGATGAGGGAGGGGACGGCTGTGTGATGAGGGAGGGGACGGCTGTGTGATGAGGAGGGGAGGCTGTGTGATGAGGGAGGGGATCGGCTGTGTGATGGGGAGGGGTGGCTGTGTGTGTGATGAGGAGGGGAGGGCTGTGTGGATGGGGGGGAGGGATCGGCTGTGTGATGGGGGAGGGGAGGGCTGTGTGATGAGGGAGGGGACGGCTGTGTGATGGGGGAGGGATCGGCTGTGTGATGGGGAGGGATCGGCTGTGTGATGAGGGAGGGATCGGCTGTGTGATGGGGAGGGATCAGCTGTGTGATGAGGGAGGGGAGGGCTGTGTGATGAGGGAGGGATCGGCTGTGTGATGAGGGAGGGGAGGGCTGTGTGATGAGGGAGGGATCGGCTGTGTGATGAGGGAGGAGAGGGCTGTGTGATGAGGGAGGGGACGGCTGTGTGATGAGGGAGGGGATGGCTGTGTGATGAGGGAGGGGAGGGCTGTGTGATGAGGGGGGATCAGCTGTGTGATGAGGGAGGGGGACGGCTGTGTGATGAGGGAGGGATACGCTGTGTGATGAGGGAGGGGACGGCTGTGTGATGAGGGAGGGATCAGCTGTGTGATGAGGGAGGGGAGGGCTGTGTGATGAGGGAGGGGACGGCTGTGTGATGAGGGAGGGGACGGCTGTGTGATGAGGGGGGGGAGGGCTGTGTGATGAGGGAGGGGAGGGCTGTGTGATGAGGGAGGGGAGGGCTGTGTGATGAGGGAGGGGAGGCTGTGTTGATGAGGGAGGGGAGGGGTGTGTGATGAGGGAGGGAGACGGCTGTGTGATGAGGGAGGGGAGGGCTGTGTGATGAGAGGGGGATCGGCTGTGTGATGAGGGAGGGGAGGGCTGTGTGATGAGGGAGGGGACGGCTGTGTGATGAGGGAGGGGACGGCTGTGTGATGAGGGAGGGGAGGGCTGTGTGATGAGGGAGGGATCGGCTGTGTGATGAGGGAGGGATCGGCTGTGTGATGAGGGAGGAGAGGGCTGTGTGATGAGGGAGGGGACGGCTGTGTGATGAGGGAGGGGATGGCTGTGTGATGAGGGAGGGGAGGGCTGTGTGATGAGGGAGGGATCAGCTGTGTGATGAGGGAGGGGACGGCTGTGTGATGGGGAGGGATCAGCTGTGTGATGAGGGAGGGGACGGCTGTGTGATGAGGGAGGGATCAGCTGTGTGATGAGGGAGGGGACGGCTGTGTGATGGGGAGGGATCAGCTGTGTGATGAGGGAGGGGAGGGCTGTGTGATGAGGGAGGGGACGGCTGTGTGATGAGGGAGGGGACGGCTGTGTGATGAGGGAGGGGAGGGCTGTGTGATGAGGGAGGGGAGGGCTGTGTGATGAGGGAGGGGAGGGCTGTGTGATGAGAGGGGGATCGGCTGTGTGATGAGGGAGGGGAGGGCTGTGTGATGAGGGAGGGGACGGCTGTGTGATGAGGGAGGGGACGGCTGTGTGATGAGGGAGGGGACGGCTGTGTGATGAGGGAGGGATCGGCTGTGTGATGAGGGAGGGGACAGCTGTGTGATGGGGGAGGGATCGGCTGTGTGATGAGGGAGGGGAGGGCTGTGTGATGAGGGAGGGATCGGCTGTGTGATGAGGGAGGGGATGCGCACTGTGCAGAGTTCAAATGTGAGCTCCACTAACCTATGGTGCTAGAGTGAAGACAGTGTTCCCTTCCGGGGGGTGAAGGGAGCACCGACTGACAGGTGGGGTCTCCCCCTTACCCCGCCACGTCTGTTATGCCCACCGCAGTGTGCCTTTAATCCCTGGGACACAGCTCTCCCCATTTTACATTCCCTGCCAAAGGAGGAGAGCAAGCTGGAGCTCTGAACGTAGATTTCTTAACTCAGGGGAAAAAATCAAAACGCAGGTCCCTTTGTTCACCATCAGCCAAGTGACTGCCTGTAGGACTGAGAGTTGGAGGGAAATGTCCAAGGAAACGGTTCCAAGGCCACGTGAGCAGCACTCACTGTCCTCAGATGCCTGGCTCAGAGACGACAAAAAACCTTCAAATGCCACCACGTGCAGGCAGGTGCTACTTTCCACACTGGGCCGTGAAACCTGGTTTTGTTAAGAGCATTCACAGACAGACACTAGTCATGAAATGGGCCTCAGCGTGGAACTCAAGTCTCTAAAACTACCAGCTTCACGTAGGAGATTCCGCAAGAAACGTAAAAAGCTTCCTTGAATGTGTTAATATTAGAAACCTAGACAATCTCAGCTCGTCTTGATTGTGTTGAGATGAACCTATTCTTGCTCATGTTCTTCTTGAAGATTTTTTTAATACAGTGATTCCTGGCAGTTTTATAAATGTGATGCCTTTGTCATCATCCCCGCAGCTGTTGGCAGGTCCACGGGGTCTGCCCCCCGCGGCACGGGGAAGAGGGGACCAGGCTGTGTGCCGGGGGCCTGGCGCACCTGCTGGGCAGGGTCCGCGGTGCTCTGCACACAGAGCGCAGTCCAGTCCACGGGGAACGCGCAGTGCGGCGCGCGGCACGCGAGCTGGACGTGGGAAGCGGACCGCTCCGACTGGACCCGGAATCTCTCTGTGACTATGTCGCCCCCACAGCCATCATGCGCGGGGGATGTCTGTGGCTCCTCCATCACCCACCTGGAAACCAAGTGCAGACACGCCGGCTGCAGGTGCGCTATTTCATGCAGACAAAAAAAACCTTCAAATGCCACCACGTGCATTTCATTTGGAATGGCCGCTGTGCTCACATAGGGACACATCCCGCCCCGCCGCCAGCCCCGCCTCCCCTCAGCCCGCTCCGCCCCCCCTCAGCCCGCTCCCGCCTCAGCCCGCCCCGCCTCCCTCAGCCCGCCCGCCCCCCTCAGCCCGCCCCGCCCCCCCTCAGCCCGCTCCGCCTCCCCTCAGCCCGCCCCGCCCCCCCTCAGTCCGCTCCGCCTCCCCTCAGCCCGCCCCCCCCCCTCAGGCCGCCCCTCCTCTGAGCCCGCCCCTCCTCAGCCCGCCCCTCCTCTGAGCCCGCCCCCCCTTCAGCCCGCCCCGCCCTCAGCCAGCCTCCCCCCTCAGCCCGCCCCTCCTCTGAGCCCGCCCCCCTCAGCCCGCTCCCCTCAGCCCGCCCCCCCTCAGCCCGCCCCCCCTCAGCCCGCCCCCCCCTCAGCCCACCTCCCCTCAGCCCGCCCCCCCTCAGCCCGCCTCCCCTCAGCCCGCCCCTCCTCTGAGCCCGCCCCCCCTTCAGCCCGCCCCGCCCTCAGCCCGCCCCCCCTCAGCCCGCCCCCCCTCAGCCCGCCCCCCCTCAGCCCACCTCCCCCTCAGCCCGCCTCCCCCTCAGCCCGCCTCCCCCTCAGCCCGCCTCCCCCTCAGCCCGCCCCGCCCTCAGCCCGCCAGCGCTCCACCCGCCGCGCCCCTCCCACTCGCGCTGTTAGACCTGTGGCTCCGGGGCCCGCCCCAGCGCAGCGCCGCGGACGCTCAGGAGGGGAGAGGACAGGTCACCGGTGTCCACACCGGCCGCCTCCGCACACCGTCTCCCACCTGCGACCCCACAGGACAGGCCGAGAGCCCGGGGTGCGCGCTCCGCCCCGTCCCGTCGCCGTGGTTACCACCCTAGCGCCGCACGGCGCCACGCCCCTTTCTCGCGAGAGCTCGGAGCCCACAACTTCCGGAGCGTCCCCCTTCCAAGCTTACACCCCACTTCCGGGTGCCTCCTGACTTCCGGTTCCTGCGGCGCAGCCGCCCGGCCCGGCTCCGGCCCTTGGGGTACGGTGGTGAGTCCCTCCGGCCCCACCTCCCTTTCCCGCCCCCTCCGGCACCCCGGCCGGCCCCTCCCGCCCTCCCGTCCTCCCAGAGTCGCGAGGGGGCCCGGATGTGGCCGCGCCGCCCCGGGCGTGCTCAACGCGGGCCCCGTGGTGTCTCCTCAGAACGAGCTGGCCCCGCGCCGGGCGTCACCCGCATGACGGCTCCCGGGAAGGGCGCGCCCCAGGCCCTGCCGCTGCGCCTGCTGCTGCTCCTGCTGCTGCTGCTGCCGGCGGCGTCCCGTGCGGGCGCCTCGGAGGAGGAGGAGGTGGTCCCGGCCGAGTGGGTGCTGCTGCACGTGGTGCAGGGGCAGGTGGGCGCGGGCAACTACAGCTACCTGCGGCTCAACCATGAGGGCCGCATCGTGCTGGCCATGCGCAGCCTCCGCGGCGACGCCGACCTCTACGTGTCGGACAGCACCCTGCACCCCAGCTTCGATGACTACGAGCTGCAGGCTGTCACGTGCGGCCGCGACGTGGTGGCCATCCCCGCGCACTTCCAGCGCCCCGTGGGCATCGGCGTGTACGGGCACCCGTCGCACCGGGACAGCGAGTTCGAGATGAAGGTGTATTTCGACCGGACAGTCCAGCGACACCCGTTCGGGGACTCGGCCTACTCGGACAGCGAAGCGAGCCACACGCACGCCTACGACCCTGAAGGCGCTTCGCAGGAGGAGGAGTCCCTGCTGTGGACAATACTCATCAGCATCTTGAAGCTGCTCCTGGAAATCCTGTTCTGACGATGGGCGGACCCCGCCTTTGGCTGTGCAAGTGATGGCAGGAAACTCCTTTTCCGGGTGGGGATGGGAAATAAAGCCATACAGTTTGTTACCTCAGTTACCCCAAAAGCAGGAGACAGCAAGCTCACAGTCCCTGTAACAGTAATGTGCACAATAAAAGGCTTAAACTCCCCTCTCCCTAGCTTGTCAGGTGGCTAAAAGGAAGGCTGCAGGGACAGAGGTGTTTAAGAAATCAAAACGGCAGCCCTGTGCAGATCAGGGTCAGAACGCAAGTCTAAGAAGTTCTGGTGTGTAAGCAAGTCCCACCTTCGGCAGAAGGGACCGAGGCCCACACCCAGGGGTGGGAGCCACAACCCAGCAGGTGTTCCTGGCGTTCATGGCAGTTCTCACCCAGCTGCTAGGTGACTCTCATTGCCTTCTGCCTATCTTGAGTCTCCCAGGACCAAATCCTGTCATGATTCCGTGGTAGTCCAGAAACCATAAAGACTAGGAAAACTTCTTAAAACTAATAGTAACTTTCAGGCTAATGGAGGAATAATTATTTCAAATGAAAATGCCTAATACTTCCCTCTGAATCTCTGAAGACAGCCAAGATGCTACGAAATAAACCTTTTGGAAGAGGAACTATTTCTCCACCTGAAGCTGGTTCCCTGGGTAAGAGTCGCGTAGAGCAGAAATGAGTCAACTTGCAGATTCTAAGCACATAGTTGGTTTCAAAAATCTTTTATTGGCATAAAAACGAGAATTGGAAATAAGTTGGCACCAGATAATTCACTTAAATGGGTGTTACAACATTGGGGTCAGGGAACTATTCATCCCTCTTTGCTGTTTTTCCCCCTTCGGCCCACTTTCCGGGGCGTTGGGGGAGCTCGCTGACAACAGTCACAGATCCAGCGACCTAGGAGAAAAATTGTTAGTTAATGGAGAATGGACTTTATTTAGGGCTGAATCGTACACCCACTGAGCTTCCTTCCTTGGCTATCACTGATGCTGCTCCTCTGGACTTGTGGGCAGAAGGGCACTACGAGTTCGAGTTCCTTAAAAGGAGAAAAATGTAAACTCCTCTGAAGATAATCAGCATAACCAGCCAAGTGGTATTTGGGGGGCGGGGAGGGGGAGGAGCAGAGCAATGCTGAGTGCTAGGAACCTTTAGAAGATCCTTACGCGTTCTGAAACCCAGCACTGCAGGCTCAGTTCAGCAACTGACACCTAACGTCCACTTGTTGTCTCGCCTATTTCCAGCCCTTTCTCTGCTGCTGGCTGGCAGCTGTGTCCCAGCATCCTCTAGTCCTGGTGGGTGAGGGCCGAGTGGACACAGGCCGAGTGTCTGACGGCACAGCCATCAGCCATCAGCCGCCCTGGGGACCTGTCTGAATTATGGCAGGACTTCAGGGAGCTGCTTCTTATCCCCGGGAAGTGTAGCTCTGGGCATTCTTTCTTACAGCATCACAGTGTCAGCTATGCAAGTACGGTCTGACATTGCAGTTATGTGTGCAATGTTTCAGTCCAGACACCGGATGTATCCTTCAAGTCTGTGTTCATTCTAAAGCTACCTGGATTGTTGTGCTGCCTTGGTTGATAGAAATCTGGACTAACCTGTCCAAAGGTATAGGAATCATTTTAATTTTGTGTCCATGACATGAAAATAAAATCAAGGGTTTGAAATAAAGGGAGGCTGCTGCTCTAGCTATTTTAGTAGAAAAACAGTGACTCATTTTATACACTGAGCTCTACACCAAACGTGGACTAGTCACTCTGACAGCAGGTGGACGTGCCTGGGGGGGAGGGAGGGATTGGTGTCACAGCACAGGCCCGCATGTCACTGGTGTGTGTGCCACCTCATGTCGGGGATGGGAGAAGCCCCTCGAAGGGGCCAGCCTTCCGTTCGTGGTCTTTACCTGATGGGATAGCACTTAGGCCCACACAAAACGTGTGGTAGCCTCGGTCACACACATCACAGAACATCATTTCCTCTTCATGGTGGGGCTGTCCACATATAATGCAAGTCTTACACTCCATACACTGCCAGGGATAGGTCTTAATCATAGAAACAAGCTCCATGGTCATATCCAGGCAAGAAGGATGGCCTAAACCAAAATCAGTGTTAGTAGAATTCACCAGTTCACAAGAGAATGTTTCACTTAAAATGGTATAATAAAGTGCTAGCTGCTTTGTGATTTCTCAAGAATGGCTACGATGGTTAAGATCGTCAAAGAGAAATGAAAATGCAGAGCTGAAGAAAATGCATGGGCTTAGTCTATGCCTTACAAATTACCCTTTAATACTTGACAATTCTCTGGGGCAAGTCTAGCTGACAACTAAACAGATAGGTGGTTAGGGCATCAAGTAGAGGGGCGGTACTTACCACTGTTCTCACACTGGGAGCAGTGTATTAGAGGTTCAGCCTTCCCTTTCTTGTTGGACTCCTTACCCTTCAGACAAATTCCACATAGAGCATTGGGAATGACCTTTGGCTGGAAGGGTAGAAGAGGGCTATAAATTCATGCCAGAAGAGCCTGCTGTGGGTTCAAAGGGGATTCTGTCACTGGATTGCCTTAACTTTACTATGGTGACTTGCTGCTGAGGACCTTTTTCAAAGATACAACTAAGCCTCAGGTTTCATCTTAAACTGTCAGCGGGGATCCCGCGCCATACAGTCCCGCCCAGAGGCACTATTCACCGAGGAGACCCAGTTCCCAGTGGCTTCCCACTCAGCCAGGCTCACTGCAGAGGAGAAGACAAATGTGAGCAGCTTATGCACTAGTTTTGTTTAAACACATTTGCCAGTGATAAAACTGTGTCTATAAAACCTAAGTTACAAAACCAAGGTTTTAACATTTTTTATTGAAAGACAGCTCACACAGTCCGTCACGTGCACAAATGTTTGTGGAAAACCAAGTTGTGAGATTAGTTCCTTTGTACATCTAATAAATAATAAAAGGACCCACATTTAGGGGCAAAGCATTCAGTATCTATAATCATAGAAGGGTGATATGCTAATTAGACCAAACGTCTTCCGGGTGCCATTCCAGACGTCCTTCCTGACCAAGCCGGGTCAGAGGGAAGCCGTGCCTGCGGGGGGCGGGGGGGGGGGGGGGGGGGGGGGAGGCCCCCTCTGGCACGGATTTTCGTGCACTGGGCCTCTAATAATATATAAGCAAGTTTTCAGACAAGAAAATAATTATCACTTAAACACACAGACACCCTTCTGTTTTGAGCACATTCACTTCTCTTATTAGAAGCACGCTCAATCAGTGGAGGCATCTGGGAGCGTGAGCAGGGCGCTGCGCCCGACCCCGCCGGCGGGACACGGCCTGGGCGGGGACGAGGCGTGCCCGCACTCAATGGCGGGCACGCGACGGGAGAAAGGCAATGTGGCCAAGTGCCATGGGCACCTCCATGCGTGTACATGGGGAGAACAATCATTTCAGTAGAATCACTAAATTTCTGTTTACTCCAGCCTTTCCAGATGCGTCTTGCATTTCCCTGAGTGACCGAGCCACAGAGAAGCCCACAGAACTCCGACTCTCATTTAGGATTCCATCTTGGGCACGGCTCACTGCTACCTTCAAATCTGGTCACCTATGCAATTTGTTCTAAATTTACATTACTTAGCGTTTTCACTTTTCAAATTGTCTTTCTTTGCAAAAGATGACAGAGGCATTCAAAAATAATTTTTGTCTTATTTATTTTAAAAAGTCAACCTTATACATAAATATAATAAAAACAGAAACTCTAAACAATCACAAATAGCTCTACAAAATAATAAATATGGGAGTAAACATACATATAAAACTTGACCGTTCACTAACCTACACTCCTGTGCATCCCGATACCCTGCTCCCCCCGCGAGGGTCCTGTCACAGCTCACACCGCGCGCTCGGCCTCGCCTGTGGTGCCCTGTGGTCACGGCTACATCCTAAGCATCCGGCTCTCAGCCGCCCCCGCTTCCGAGAAGACGGCCGGGAAGTACACCCAGGACCAGGTGCAGGTTCAGTTATGGTCAGACTGTCACTGCCATAACATAGGCAGCCAGCAACCCCTCAGCCTACCAAGCTGGCTCCGTCCCCCGCACTGAACGTGAAAGCTACGCTTATTTAACACTCGCAGTTCAGGTCAGACACCACTCGACGGGCCCTGAGGGCGCTAGTCCAGGAAGGAGCCGCACTACACGGAACTCTGAAAGGAGAGCTCCTCAGGGAGACGCTTCACAAAGCCTAAGGCTAGTCATTCACATTCTAGATCAATTCAAGCTCCACAATCATTAACATTTACATGAAGCACCTATGATAAAAGGGACACCGAGAAAACCCTCGGTTTAACTTCTGAGCTCAAAACCATGTACGTTAAACCCTTACAATGGTCCTTACCCGATAGTCTTCATCTTGAAAACAGAGAGACAGGGGTGGAGGGAGAGGAAGGGGAGGAGACGAGGGGGAGGGGGAAAGGGGAGCACACGAGAGGGCGCTTCCAGCATTTTGAGATGCTGCCAGGCTCAGCATAGAAACGCTGGGTTCCCTCGGCCTCCCAAGTGGGAAGAAGCTGGTGTCTACGCCAGGACTTGGCCCAGCGACAGCAGTTGCTAGCTGGGAGGCGTCTCAGTGACTGGATTCGGGGCAGCAGGATGGGGAGTGGGCAGAGCCCCCGAAGAGCAACGAATAGAACACCCCTGGCAGGTCTGCGATAAGTTGCAACTACCACAACCTCAGCTTCACCACTAACACTTGTCCCAACGGCTCTCAGCATGCCAAAGCCAAGGCTCAGACACACGGTCCTCCTGCCTCCGCAGTCACGAGGCAAGTGAGCCTTCAGGAGCACGGACAGTTTATCTGTACGTGGAACGTGGGCCGAGGCCCAGCATGCGCGCTTCCATCTCGGTTAACGTGACCTGAACTACACTGTCCCACGCGTGAAGGGCAAGCATGAACGACCGTGATCAAGCAAGACACCAGGTGCATTTAAACATTTACATCCACGACTTGCAGCTTTAAGCATCCAATATGTAGGCACATCTTGGCTTATTAATACTTTTCATAGAGGTCAGCTTTCCATAAGCGTGTTCACATGAGGGCACTGAGTCCAAATACCGGCTCCCAGACTGTGAAACGCTGGCGCGGTTCCATCCGCAGCCCCGTGCGGTTCCGCAGCAGGCTCCCCCGTACACCGACGGAGGCGACTGTGCCCTCCCACGGTCAGCCACGCCAGCACACGCCTGCATTCAGGCTCCCCACCCGCCTGCCCGCCCCAGGCCACGGTCCCAGGCACTGACCAGCTCCGTCCACCAGTGCGCTCATGGCCGTTCCCCAGCCCATGTGCGGACCGGCACGCTGACTTACCAAACTTAATCTTTAGAGTTCATTTGCTTTCAGTGATTTAAGTGCTAACTTAAACCTTTAGTTTAAAAATGATGTAAGCTATCTAAGCGAACACAAGTATAAAAAATCGCACAGCCACTGCCTGTTAGCAGCCCAGAAGCCAGCCCTGCTGGACGACGCTGAGTGTCTGACCGAGGCTGAAAAAGCACGCGTGTAAGCTGATTACATAAAGGCGTTTTCTAACTCAGTGTGGATGCAGTGCTCGGAGTCGCCTCTCGCTTCCGGGCAAGGCCGGAGCGGAGCATGGGGCTGCCGTGGGCCGAGGCCGGGGCTCCCGGGACCTGCTCTCTCCCTCCTTCCCAGCTCTGACTAGGGACAGCCCTGTAATTCTACTCGGCAACACCACCTCACCACCGCACTCCCACAGCCTTCCAAACACCTTCCTAGCCACAGTACAAGGCATATCCTGACGTTCCAGACCCAAACAACTGCATATCTCACTGTCACCACCAAAACATGAAGCTGTGCAGCTACCCCCGTTGGTGGTTTCCTGAATCCCCACCAACAAACGCCTGACCCTCCAAAGGGGAGGGAGACATCTCGGAAATGACACAAACAGGATCGCCGACAGCCTGACCTTACTCTGAGCAGCCAGACCAAGAACTCGACAGGCGTACTGAGCCGGCTGCTGCAGCAAACACTGCTCTGCATGCTTCTGCCCCTAGATGCTACTGCCACGACTAGTCAGTCTTACTACCTGCCTCAGCGCCAGCCGGGCGGAGCGGCTGCACCCACCAGGGCACAGCGGGCCTTCCTGCTACGTACAAGGGGCCGCACCATGTCCCACAGCTACGGCCTTGACTCCGAGGAAACAGTGTCAAGTTCTGCCTAGAAAGTAATTTTTTAAAAACCCATACTTGCCTGTTCATTATTTAAAAGCAAAAAAGGAGATTCTCTTATAAGCTGTACACATACAGAAGACAGAAGCTAAACCACAGCCAAAGTGACAGGAAGCCCCAGGAGAGGAGCCGACAGGAGAGCGGACAGCACAGCCTGAGGGCGCGGCGGCGGCGGCTCCACCACGCTGAGGTTCAAAGGCAAACATGTCGGGGAGAGGCTGGTCAGGGGCTTTTCTCTTCTACCTTGTACCCGGGGGCGGACCTGGGCAGCACCGAGCGCTTGGCAGCGTCCTTCCTCGGGGTGGCCGCCTTGTCCTTGGGCCGCGGTCTCCCCGGGAGAGGCTCCTCCTGGCTGTCGGGAAGGCCTTCGCCCTCGGACACGTTGCCGGAGGAGCTGTCCTGCGGGGCAAAGGCACATTCCTTGGCATTCACACAGGCTTGAGGGAAATGT